ACAATAATAATAATAATTTGATCATAGGATATTAATAGATTAAAAAGGTTTTTTGTTTTCAAAAACATATTGCATAAAATTGAAATTTAAATAAATACTTTGATAATCAGAACAAAAAAAATCCTTTATTTAAATATTATATAAAAATTAATTAATCAATTATTAATAAATTATATTTTTTATTTTTTATTTCATGTTTTTCATACAATTCCATAATAATTGTTATGGAATATAAAATATCACAAAATATTATTACAATATTTAATATTTAAAATTCACTTATATTTATTTTACATTTAAAAACTTATTTTGTAACATGCTAAAATAATATATTGTGAATTTAATTTTTCATCTTAAAATATTTATATAATAAAAATCAAACCAATATTATTTTTTTAATAAAACTTTTATATATTGTATATAATAATATTATAAATATTATTGTATCAAATAACAAATTTTAATATGACAATAATAACAAGTTTTAATATGATAAATATCAAATCATAGTTTTATAATAAAATAATATTTATATATAATTTTATAGAATAATTTTTTATTAATATAATTAAGATAAAAAAAAACTCTTTCCCGCAAATCAATTTCCAATCGAAAATTTCCTTATTTGGCAACAACCTTTCTATTGTAGTATGAAACTTATCGCTCAACATTGACAGCCTATCCCGAAACATTACTTGGAACGATGTTTCACGAAAGAAATAGAGAATTAATTCACCCGACCAATGGCAACGAGTATTTCTTTGATCGAAACAGCAGAGTTTTTCATTACATCTTGGAATTTTATCGTACCGGAAAGATCTTTTTATTGGACGAGATAACAGGATCAAAGAGCTCATCTCTAGACATAACTCATCAAGAGTTAATTGAAGAGATAAAATACTTTCAGGTCCCGTTGCCACGACGAGACGTTCCAACCGATCAATATCATGCCGAACTGCTGGATAAATTTGTGGATGCATTGAAGGAAGGTATATGTGAGGCGAGATATGATTTTCACAACATCTTTGGTGCCGAATTTGCACCCATAGGAGCTGGCAAAAAAATCTTTGTGACCGTACCTCCCGAGGGTAACTTTAAGAGATTATTTGAACCGTTTAGATACAATGGATACAAGATTATAGAATTGTTTGGCAAAGATATCGAGGTGCACATTAAATCTTTGTTTCCGGATATTACGTTTTCGATTATCGAGGGCGAGGTGGAGGAGAATGATGTTGGGTATAAGGTATATGTAATCAAGATTGAAATTGGTGATGAGGCATGGGATCAGAATGCTATCCTTAGTAAATCTAGTCTTAGGAAAAATCCGCAAAAGCAGTTGGAAAGCTAATAGAAATCAGATAGTTACTCTTAATATACACGTATTTAATTAATCACGGGATCCTCTCTATTTCAAATAATCTAGTTTTCTCTTTATTAATATACCACGAGATTGGCGGTTAATGATTGTAAGGGTAAATTAACATACATATATATATTTGTTTGTAAGTTACTTTCACCTAGGAGCGATTTAATAATTAAAATGTGAGTTCATAGGAATTTCACCAATTGTCCTTAAATTAATTCAAAATCAAGTAATTATGGGATGTAAATGAATGGCCAGTTTAAATGCGTTTTGATGAGATAGCCGACTTGTTTCATGATTTTTTGTTGGGAATCAGTTGTGTGATAATTTAATTGACCAAGTAGTTGAGTCTCAAGTCTTGGATAAATGCAATTGAATCAATAAATAAATTTAACAAACATAGTACTTACCAAGATAAATCAAATAATCGAAGTATGATTAAAAAAATTTCAGTTCCAGGTTAAGCGTATCTTAAGGGACTCTCATTATTATCATAAAAACGATAGTTTTGTACCTCATGTGACCGATGTAGAACCGCTGCTCCTGTGAATATTTGCAATATACACATATAATATTTAAAAGACTAGTTTTTCAATAATAGAATCGATGGTTTTTGCGTATCTGGGTAATTCTTTTTGAAGGCGGACAGGGATTTTTCTGACTTTATAATTGTACTCCTAGAATTTATATTGTATATGTATTGTTCAAAAAATAGGGATCAAAAAATCGTATATAACATTTTGTCGTTTTCAAAAAGAATCAGCCATCTTGATATGAATCTCATTTCATATTACATACAGTATATGTAATTAGCATCAATGCATTTATTTTTTACATCCTTATATTGTATAAAGTGATAACGGCGTGGCTATCAAACCTTAAAAAACACATTTGTTTTGTCCTCGAGGTAGTTAATATTACATCCGCATGATTTTTAAATTCGCATCGTATAATGTATTCATGTATAGTGTCATCAAGACAATGAATCCAATTCCTTGACGAAAAACATGTAAAATTCGCTATATTTTCGTTTAATTAAATTCCCAATAAATTTTTTCCTTTTGTCTACTGATAAGGTATTTATGTTAACGTTAGAATTTTCCCTCTATATTAAAGATCTTAACCTTTGTCTAACGTTTCCGTAGAACTTTCATATCAATGTAAAGACACATATTATATTTTATTCACCGTACTACTCACATCATAACACAGATTGTGACTTCCCTTTGCCTATGAATCATTATATGATCCATATCCTAATATATTAAGATTACGGTCTAATATTTTGTCTTTATTCATCAGGAGAAATACTAAAGTACCTTATGCTTTTGTTGAGTTAAATTAGAAATAGTTAATTCCGAAACTTGTTATCACCTGGAGTATAACTCGATTTTTGAAAGTCAAAATCTCGTCACTACAGTATGTGATTGTACGCATTTTAATTTGGAATTTCTCGTTATATAATCTTTCGATATTTACCATACAAGGAATTTTTTCTCCGATGGTAATTGGACATTTCGTAATGGAGACCTGAATTATTAGTTGTTACAGTTTTTACCTACAATTTTACTGTCTTTGGAAACAAAAAACTTTTCAAATTTCAATGTCTAGTTATTTATTAGAGGCCACTTCACCGGTGGTTTTTATTTTAAAATCCCCTAATTAGTCGACCGCTACTCTCAACGTGTTATTTGGATGGAAAAAACTGCAATATTGGAACTCTTAACTTAAATCTGTTGAATTGATAGATGCCTATGGAAAATGTGTCCTGAGAAATTGCTATAAAGATGAGATTGAAAATTATTCAAACTCAAGACGAAGAAAAATTTGATGAACATAAATAAAATATAATCTTGGATAACGTTGTGTGAATATATTTATTTGAAATTTCTTTTGTTCGTAAACTAAACATTAGGTACAATTATATTTCTATTTATGTTTATGCAAATAAAATTATGATGAACTCGATTTTTTTAAAAATTTATTTTTTAAGGCACCCAAAGTTTTTATGGTAGCTTTTAAATGATTACGCGCATTCCCGGATTTTTCATTCATTGGTCAATTGCTTTTTTTCCGCCAATCAAATAATTAATAGTACACTTGATCCTATATTTTTAAATAAAAAGTTGATACTAAACGATCGCGTATGAAAAACTTTGTTATGACGTTTTGAAATGGGTTACAACCATAAAAGTTCAGTTGATTAATGATTGACTATGGGAAAATTTTGACGCTGTGTACTGTGCGTACTACTGTAGTCTATAAAATTTTGATAACACGTAAATGTGAATTGATTAAATTGCGTGACTATGATAGTACGCCATGATAAAAAAATAAACTATTCGCTGCTAGACTGTGAAATATATCGCGAGTATTCAAAATCTTAAATAAATAAAATTTGTATATTAACACACTAGATTTGTTGTCTCTTATGATTTCGACTTAACGCCAAAAAATATTCGATTGTTATTAAGAGTCTGACACTTTATTAATTTATTCATTTTGAAAATAAAAATCTCAATGGTGCAACTCACCAATATCGCGAAAGTTTTTGTGGTGTTTACGTTCATCGCGTTTGTCAATGCAGGCAATTAAAAACTTGATCTCTTTTCGTACTGTAAAATCAATACTTGCGGCTCTCAAAATAACATTTCTTCTTTGCAAAAACTTAGATGTAGTCATTAACACACCCATCGGAAAGATTGCCCATGGTGCCAACATATTAGTCAGTTGGGAACTCACAGGACCCACGCCAATGATTCTTGGCTCTCTGCGTATCCAGAACAAAGACACTGGTGAATCCATGAACATTAATGATTCACTCGACTTATCAATTCGCAGACTTCAATGGAGGGTAAGCGTATCCCCTGGAACTTATATCCTCGCCATTAATGATGGTAGTGGTGAAAAATTCTCTGGTGAGTTTCAAGTTGTTCAAGGAAAGTCCCTCGGCAAAGGGGACAGCAGGGGCAATATGAATGTAAGGGAAGGTACGACCATTAGTCCGGTGCAAGGCAAATTAAATGATCCGAGCAATTCGAAACCACAAGGACCAGGGATTTCCTTTGCTAAACCCGAGAGAGTCACCGCGACTGTTACGTGAGTTTTGCATATTTTACAAATATGTGTTTTCCATTGTTGTTCCATTTTTTAATTTAAATATTTAATTTAGAGCCATGGCCCCTACGAAAACGGGAAAGAGTTCTGGTGCTGAAAGAACGATGATTTCAAACATCTGGATCATCTTTGGCTTTTTCATGGGTGTCATATCGAACTTTATCTAGATTAGCGCCGTATTAAGATTTCAATATTAAATGTCACAACATAGAACAAAATTTTATAGGTTACAATTTAAATGTTACCACTATGCTATATTACTAATTATTCAAAAATTTCCCGCTCGAACCCAATAAACAGACGACATTATGTTCGTAAACCTTTATTTAAAAGTTATTCCTTAGTAAATCGCTATTTTACACTATAATTAAAATCCCATGAGAATTAAATAGTGAAAAATACTGGAAAATCGCTTTCTACATTTCACATACAGTATTATTATATCAACTGTGTATTTTTTTTAAAAATATTTTTTAAAAATAATCTATCAAATTACTGTAAATATAAAATAAATCAAGATTCAAACGTAGTACTGTAAAATAATCTATGATCCGCATTTAATGATCATGTCGATACGAAACAAATTTTGAAAGAATATATCAAAATACTTAGTACGTAATATCAAAAAACTTTTGAAAATTTCAATTCCCATATAATCACAATATTTTTTATTGAGTTTATGTCTATTTCTTTTAAATAAAAGATTAACTATTTTTTATCATTTTTATTTTATTTTAAATAAAAGATTAACTATTTTTTATCATTTTTGTTTTATTTGATATCTAAAATAAGGTTATTTAATATGATTTTTAACCCCTGTCTTAAAAAAAAAAATGATTAGTACATACAATTATTACTTATCGTGTAATGATAATTTGAATTGTTGTAAAGAAATTAAAGGATTTGTTATTTTTAATTACCATATCATATCCTAATAATTGTTTACTATGTGTGATTTCATTTTATTCTTGTGGTTTTTTTTATTATATAAAATTTGTAGTGGTTTGTTATTCTTTATTTTGTGTATACTTTACATCATTTTTTATTTTTATTTTGTTTCATTATGATAAATAAAATAAAAATATATACAGTACGTATCGTGTTTATATTTATTATCAAAAATTCATTTGTTTATTTATTTATTTATTTTGCAATTTCTTATTTAATTGCATGGTTGTAAATTAGAAAACCCCTCTTTTTCAAACAATACAAATCATTTTAAAAAAAATAATTGTAAAGGTTCTAGAAAATTTGCTTGTAATAAATAAATAGGTTGTCGAAATTCGAGTATTCGTGTAACGTTATGCAATGTATATAATACGTATTGAGGAGACTAAAGGGATCAAAAAATGCAATCATTTGATTATTGTCCCGAATGCAGTAGAAAAAAACCATTATACGAGTGGTGCATGTCATGTAACAGAAATCACTTTCAGCAAGATTTTGACAAATGGACAAGTGGAGATAAAAAAATTGACGAATTTATACAAAAGTCTCAGCTTCAAGCTGAGTATTCTAACCAGGCATTAGAATGGATACCGTATACACAATTTCAAGATGTCAAATATATCGCCAAAGGAGGATATGGCACTGTGTATTCTGCGACATGGGAAGATGGTTTTATTACGAGTTGGGATGTTCTCAATAAGAAATGGACTAGGTCTTTTAGAAAGAAAGTAGCATTAAAAAGCTTAGATAAGCTTAGCTCAGTTGACGATCTTATAAATGAGGTAAAGAATATTAAACCTCGTTTAACTATAGTTTTATTATTAACGTTAATATAATTTATTTGAAATTTTAGGTTGAGAAACATTCTGTTCTATGGGGCACATACCGTATCATTAAGTGTTATGGAATTACGCAACAGCCCGAGTCATTATGCTATATGATGGTTTTTGATTTTCAAGAAAATGGAAGTCTCAGGAATTACTTGGACGAAAATTTTTACAAGATGGATTTGATATTAAAGTTAGAGTCGTTAAGCGAAATTTCAAGTGGTCTGAGAATTATGCACTCAAAGAAATTAGTTCATAGAGACTTTCATCCTGGAAATCTTTTATATAGTTCTTCCTTGTATCTAAACATCTCAGATCTAGGTCTTTGCAAAAAATTCGATAAAATTCAAGAAGGCGAAACCCGCCAAGAAATTTGTGGAGTTCTTCCATACATTGCACCCGAAGTCTTGTGTGGTCATGCTTACACACCGGCAGCAGATATTTATTCATTTGGAATCGTAGCATATGAAATTATCACAGGATTTCCTCCATACTATAATATTCCTCATGATCAAGATCTTGCTGTACAAATCTGTCAAGGCTTACGTCCAAAAATTCCATTCAGGATTCCAAGACTTTTAGTTAGATTAATAATGCAATGTTGGGATGCGATGCCATCGAAGCGACCAGGTGCTAGAGAAATATTAGACACTTTATTCAAATGGGTTGATGTAATCAAAAGTGATGAACCTTCGGATTTTAAGGAACAAGTTAAAGATTACGAAAGCGAAGTTTCGAAAGCATCACAAGCTAGTAAATCATCGGGACTTAATTATAAAACGCATACAAATGCTATTTACACTAGTAGACTTTTGAATTTTTCAAATTTACCGCAACCAACTAACGCCCCGAATTACGAGAAGGCACTTAAACTGTTGTCTGATGACTATGCAGGTTAATATACTGTAAATAGTATAACGTTCATCACATTTCTAAGTTTATTTAAAACTTTATATAACAGACTCAGGATTACAAAAACTCAAAATATTGTAACTTTTTCGGTAATGTTAAATTACTTTTATGGTTTAACAATGTGTGTTACCTGTACTGCATTTTAACATCTTTACGTTGTAACTTAATTTTATTTTATTAATGCTTATGATGTCATTTGCATCAAATATTACAGAAACTTTCGATAAACGAGATGCTATGATTTCTATTCCTTAAACCACTGTGCGATTAAACCTTATTTATTTCATATCAATGGAGGTTTTTTTTTGCATGCATGTATTATACGTAAATAATAGCCTGCTCCAATTATTTTAGCGATGATTTTTATGATTTTTATATTTATGTCTTATGTTCTCATGGTTATTTTGTAATAAGTATACTGTACATACTGTAAGTAAATGAAAATATAATAGTTATTTATTTATTTATTTATACTACTTTTTCAAAATGAAATAAATTATAAGGTATTGTCCTTTTATAAATAGACAAACACGCTACCATTTATCTCTGTTGTTAGCTTTAATAATGATGGGACGTGTTATCTGTGTTTGAAAAGGGACGCGAAATGGATAACAGTAATGACAGGGTAAAAAAAAACGATCAACGGTTCTTAACTTTCAAGGAAACTGTAATAGTGTAATAGTGTAAAAGAAGACCATTAAAAGAAACTTTGCAGAATTAATCTACAACTTAAGTTTGAATAAAAAATCTTACTTTTAAAAATAATTCTCATACGAAGAACTACATAATATTGTAATGATTTAATATTTATAATAATAATTTATTATAAAGAATTACTGTAGAATGAAATTATTTTCAATACTTATTATTTAATACTTATTTACTGTATAAATAAATGAATAAATTATAATTTATTTTATCAAGATACTATTTCTATTAGTCCACGCATGTAATATATACTGTGTATATGGGTAATTATTTTCGAAGGTGAACCGGAAATTTTCTGTGATCCTAAAATTTATATTGTATAGGTATTGTTTAAAAGCTGGATCCGAAAAAATCATATCTAGCATTTTTGTCACCTTCAAAAATAATTATCCATATATTTTATCTACATTGAATAAATAATTATAATTATAAAAAATTTTTTAATTGTATACATTTAATTGCTTATTTAATGAAAAATATTAATCATATACTGTACGTATAATTTATTTGATTGTTTTTTATATTGTAAATTAATTTAACAATTCATTTATAAGGATATATATACTGTACATCAGAAAAATCAGTTGGAATAATAAACATAAAAATATAAAATAAATATAAAATAAAAAATCCATCTTTTCAAATTTATTAATCTATAAAAAAAATTCTTTTTGAATAATATGTCAGAATTGTGAATTAATAAACAGTCTGGTAATCAAAATATTTTCTTACAAAAAAAATATCAAATTTCAACTGCAAAATACAAAAATTCAATTGTTATAATTTCTAATACAAGAAATAATTAAATTTAAAAAACTTTTATTAAAAAAATACTTTTATCTATTTTATTATTAATTATAATCCAATCATAGATTAAAATATTATTTTGTCAATTTTTTGTTTTTACTAAAGATAATATTGTTGTATTAAGGTAATACAATTCCTTTTTTTTATTAAATTTAGTTGGGATAAATTCTTTTGTTAAGTATTAATTCTGGATGAAACTATATATCATAAAACTATTCTTCTTTAAATATTATAGTCAAGTTTTATAAAAATATAATTACAGTTTATTATTAAATTATTTTTTTTTGAAGAAATAAGCAGTCTCACATATTATTTTTATTATAATTTTAGACTTGCAAACTACAAGATTTATAACTCAATAGTGTAATATACATCTCTCTTTACCAGGAAAAGTTAAATGCCAGGCTTAATGAAGACCCTTTTGCCTAAGCTCCTTGGTACCACTCAAGAATATAAGAAAAAAGAAATTCAAAACCTATATTATTACTTGAATGGCATCTAGCTACCTAGAGAAATTTGAAACCTAATCACATAAAGATGCTGCAGCTACTATATACAGGTTGGCCTCCAAGTTATAACTAGGATTGATATGCTTGCTTTTCAAATGTGGTTTGATGAATGGCAAGCCAAATGTGTTTTACTTTATACTTCACCTGAATAACTTGTTCAATTAATTAAGTAGTTGCTACTCTGACTAGAATATCCAATGGAGATTAATCTTTTATTCATCATCTAGTATTTGATCTTCTCTACTCTTCTAAAATTGTGACAAATTATGGGTTAATCAAGCCTGTAGCAGTTGCCTACACCTGCAGCAAGTAGGGAAAGAGATAGCCACTCTTCATAAAAAACTTTGCATACATAGCTACACCATTTAAGTAATTGAGTAGAATCCAGCACAAATATAAGGCAGGAAAAGGTGGAAAAGAAATATTTGGATATGTAGTAATAGTTGTTGAGAAAAGTTGTT